CGACCGGGGGCGGGGCGGTGGGCACGAGCGCAGAGCCACGCGGGGGTGGGGGCAGAGATATATCATCGTGACTGTAGTATCTATATATCGTGATACATGTCACTTAATAAACACTTCTAGTTCCTACGTTAAATACACCACCATAATACCCCCCCCCCCCCCCCCCAGGGGGCGTGGGTCTCCAGCCTGATGATGACTAAGCCACAGGAAGCCTCTGCCGTCCCACGTTGCCTGGCTGAGTTGCTGTGTGACCTTGGCTACAACATTCGTCATCACATCCCACTCACTGAGCTCGGCAATTAAAATTCCAGAAACAATTAGGTGGCGATTAAAAAAGAAAAAAAAAAAAGGGTTTGCACGATGGAGGGAAGGAGATGAAAAAAGGCAGCTTCCTTCAGAGTTTCTCTTGGCTCCGCCCACTGGCAGAACCACAGAACAGCCCTGAGAGTGAGATTCTATTCCACTGTGAACCAGTGTCACGTTGACGGTACGGAGCGGCGCCCGTTTCTGGAGCATTAATGTGACGCGGGAGAGCGCAGCTGCGGCGGAGGGAGCGCTCCCTTTTGGCTAATTTTGGCCGACAGTTGAGCGACTGCTGCTACGCAACAGCGTCTTTATTAGCCGTCGTATTAGCAGCGGGAGCAGAAGCTTTAGCCGGTCATTAGCATCACACGCTATTTGTCTTCATGATACAGGGACAAAGCTGCTGTTGGGTTAGCTTCTGCTTCAGCTCACTCCTCGCTGCCTGTCATCGTCTAACACACACACACACACACACACACACACACACACTCCCTAACCTTCACTATCACAAATCCATCCCAATCTTCAGGCGTGATCTAATCTGACCGTAATCCTGACTCCAAACTAAATCTTTAATCTTAAAATGACTTTGACTCAGTGGGGAGCTACACACTGCCCCCTCAAGGACAAACTGTCCCCACAATGAGAATCAGTTTGCCAAGCAACATTTATCCACACACACACACACACACACACACACACACACCCTTCTAGTCGTCAGCGTCCATAACAAAGTACTACACAGTATGTGTGTACTGTTGTGTGTACTGTTGTGTGTACTGTTGTGTGTACTCCCTGACACAGAGTTCCTTCACTGACTTTTTTAGCCTGAGACTAGGATCCCACTGGGGGGGG